CTTCCCATTTTCCTTTTTTAGAGCTGATTGATAGTTTTCTTTGAGTGATAAATAATAGAGAAATACAAAAATATATAAAAAGTGAAAGTTTCTGTTTTGCTATATACCTTTAGTGGTTTCTCTGCTAATGTTGCACTTTCATGGATATAATAATACAAGAGAGGTTTCAAAACTTCATGGAAAAATAGAATTAAAAGATAACGCATAGGGTGGGTGTTTAGTGGCTGTGATGCTGGCTAAGGCACCTGTGTCTCACACCAGAGTACCTAGGTTTGATACCTGGCTCCAGTTCCTGACTCCAGCATCCTATTAATGCCGACCCTGTGAAGTAGCAGTGGTGACTCAACTGGCTGGGTTCCTACCACCCATGTGGGAGACCTGAATTGAGTTCCCAGCTCCTAACTCCAGCCCCCACTTCACCCCAAGCCCAGACTTGGCCATTGTGGCCATTTACAGCAGGAAGTAGTGCCTGTTGGCTAAGATCAAGTGTGGCACCTTCTTCTGTCTGTCTCTGCCTCCCAAAAAAAAAAAAAAAAAAAAGGTAATGCATATTTTCCATGAAGTCGTTGAAGCTCCCCTCATGTAATTTACAAATATAAGCAAATTTAAATCATTGTGTTCTTTTTTTAAACAAAAATGAGATGTTTTATATGTAATATTTTATAACATGCCTTTTTTTTTTTTTTTAAAGATTTTACTTATTTACTTGAGAGGTAGTGTTACAGATAGAGGGAGGGAAAGACAGAGAGAAAGGTCTTCCATTCACTGGTTCACTCCCCAAAGGGCCACAACAACCAGAGCTGGGCCATTTGGAAGCCAGGAGCCAGGAGCTTCTTCCAGGTCTCCCATGCGGGTGCAGGGGCCCAAGGACTTGGACCATCATCCACAGTTTTCCCAGGCCATAGCAGAGAGCTGGGTCAGAAGAGGAGCAGCCAGGACATAGACTGGCACCCTTATGAGATTTCTGGCACTGCAGATAGAGGCTTAGCCCACTATGCCACAACACTGGGCCCACAACTTGCTTTTTTAGCCTTCACAATATGTTGTGTACTAATTTCTGTATCACATATATATAACTGATTTATTTAAGTGCCTATATGCTATTGCTATTTTCCATGATTGATTTACCCTCTCATCTATAAGCAGACCTGTTCGTATCCAAGTTTTTGCCATTTTCCACATTGTTCTACGGTGAGCATGGCTGCCCCTGTTTCTGCAGTTGTGCAAGATTCAGATCCTAGGTGTGGAATTGATTGTGGGGTCATGGGCGTATACAGTTTGAAGTTGGGGTAGTGAGTGACAAGGGCTCCTCAAGGTGTTTGTGTCGGTTTATGTTCCCGTCAAAAGTATAGGCAAGGGCTCATTCATCTCCCCACATGGGAGTAAGCTAAGCTGCTTCATGCTTTCCACTTGCCCTTGAAGATTAGCTGTCTTGCTCTTTAACATGGGCACCTTGGAAACACTTGGATTTACTTCCTCCTAAGCCTGTGGGTTGTCGTTTGCTTAGCTTCTAGTCGCCCCCTTGTCTACTGTGGTTCCCTTTATTGTGGAGCCAGGTTCACCCCAGGACAATGAGTCGGTCGCTGAAGGGTAGAAATGCTTGACCTGTGCTAACTGAATTGGTTTCTGGTCCCCCTGAAAGATATTAGGCAAGTGATCTGGAGTGGGGGCCAAGTGCTGTATGGCATGCATGTCTAATTGTGTGCTTGACCAACTGCCTTTCCGTGAGTGGTGTTCATCACAGAAGCAGGGACTCTGGAAAGACGAGGTGCTGGGAGTGCAGACTCAGGAGCCTGCCTGCGTCTGAGGCCTGCCTCTGCCCGCAGTGTCTCTGTAACAAGGGGCTAGTTGGTTACCTCAGCTTTCTCAGCTGTCAGGCGGGGATCATAATACCTAACTTTTAGGTTATCCTGAAGGTTAATTGAGTTAATATTTAAAACAGAACACTGCCTGCTGTAAATTTGTATGTATGTATTTCTAGAAGCTTTAGGACCAGGCCAGGGCTTTAACCTGCTGCGCCACAGTGCTGGCCCTGGCATTTTTTTTTTTTTAAAGATGTATTTATTTACTTGAAAGTCAGAGTTACACAGAGAGGAGAGGCAGAGAGAGAGAGAGAAAGGGTGGGGGGGGGGGAGAGGGAGAGGGAGGCCTTCCATCTGCTGGTTCATTCCTCAGTTGGCTGAAATGGCCGGAGCTGTGCCAATCCAAAGCCAGGAGCCAGGAGCTTTTTCCAGGTTTCCCACATGGGTACAGAGGCCCAAGAACTTGGGCCATCTTCTGCTGCTTTCCTAAGCCATAGCAGAGAGATGGATTGGAAGTGGAGGAGCCAGGACTCGAACCAGCGCCCATATGGGATGCCGGCACTGCAAATGGTGGCTTTACCTGCTATGCCACAGCACCGGCCCCTCAATTGGCATCTTCACTGCTATGCCAAATGCCCGCCCCCTATTCCTTTTTATGGCCAATTAATATTCTGTTGTATACATATACCACATTTTATTTATCAATTCATTAATTGAAGGACTTTTGGGCAGTTATGAATAATGCTTCTGTAAACAAGTTTTTATGTGAACATACATTTTCAGTCCTCTTGGGTACATAGCTAGGAGTGGAATTGCAGGGTCTTGTGGTAATTACACATTTAGCTTTTTGATAGTCTGCCAGACTGTTTTGTGAAGCATCTGTACCATTTCACACCCCGCCAGCAATGTTTGAGGGTTCTGATTTCTCTCTCTCTCTCTTTGTTTTTTAAAGATTTATTTATTTATTTGAAAGGCAGAGTTACAGAGAGGCAGAGGCAGAGAGAGAGAGGTCCTTCATCCGCTGGTTCACTCCCCAGATGGCCACAATGGCAGGTGCTGTGCTAATTCAAAGCCAAGATCCAGGAGCTTCTTCTGGGTCTCTCTCGTAACTGCAGGGGCCCAAGGACCTGGGCCATCTTCTACTGCTTTCCCAAGCCATAACAGAGAGCTGGATCGAAAGTGGAGCAGTCGGGACTAAAACCGTCCATATGGGATGCTGCCGCTGCAGGCAGTAGCTTTTACCCACTATGCCATAGCACCAACCCCATTATTATCTTTTTTATGACAGCCATGTTAGTGAGTGTGAAGCAGTTTTTTTTTTTTTTTGATATGCATTTTCTTAATGACTAGTGATGGTGAACACTTTTTCATATGCTTTTTGACCATTTGTGTATCCTTGGAGAAATAGTGATTTAATTCCTTGCCCATTTTAAAGCCCCTTACCTGACAGAAAGAACAAAGATCATTCTCTGGAACTCCAGTGAGTGATGCCCAGGGAGAGATTTTCCATTAAAGTAGACTTTCAGGGCTGTGGCATCTCAGACCTGGCCAGGCCACCACCTATTTTCTTGTGGCCCTGGGTTGGTGAACCCCTTTGAGCCTTCCTTGTTACTGTCAGCATTTCTCAAAAATAGTGCCAAGGCCTGCCATTCCTGTGATAAGAGACCCATGTGGCCAAAGAAGTGGACCATCTTGTTTGGTGAGTCACAATTAACCTGCTTACGTTTAAGAAATCTGTAGGAGTCTCTTATCAGACATATAAGTTGCAAATACTTATTCCTGTTCCATGCTGTTTTCCCACCTACTTTCTTGGTGTGTCCTTTGAAACATGGCCTTTTTTTTTTTTTTTGGACAGGCAGAGTGGACAGTGAGAGAGAGAGACAGAGAGAAAGGTCTTCCTTCCATTGGTTCACCCTTCAATGGCCGCTGCGGCCATCGCGCCACGCCGTTCTGAAGCCAAGAGCCAGGTGCTTCTCCTGGTCTCCCATGCGGGTGCAGGGCCCAAGCACTTGGGCCATCCTCCACTGCCTTCCCGGGCCACAGCAGAGAGCTGGACTGGAAGAAGAGTGACTGGAACAGAATCCGGCACCCCAACCGGGACTAGAACCCGGTATACCGGCGCCACAGGCGGAGGATTAGCCTAGTGAGCTGCAGCGCCAGCCTATGGCCAAATTATTTTAAAAATCGTTTATTTGAAAGGTGGAGAGAGAGATCTCCCATCTGTTGGTCCACTCCCCAAATGCCTGCAACAGCGAGGTCTGGGCTGGTCAGGTTAAAGCCAGGAGCCCAGAAAACAATCTGGGTCTCCCGTGTGGTGGCAGGGACCAACTTACAGCCATCACCTGCAGCCTCACAGGGTGTGCATTGGCAGGAAACTGGAATCAAGAATGGAGCAGGGATTGGAGCTAGACAGTCATGTGGAATGTGGGTGTCACTAGCAGTGCCTTAACCGCTGTGCCGAATGCCTGCCTGATTTTTAGTTTTTATGAAATCCAGTTTATTTTTCCTTTTCTTGCTATTGCTTTTGGTGTTCGTTAGTTCTTTTAAAGGCTCAGAAAAGTGGAGCCAGTTTTGTGGTACAGAGAGCTGAGTTCTATTTCTGTGATGCCAGCATCCCATATTAGAGCACTGATTCCTGTCCCAGTTGCTCTGCTTCCAATCCACCTCCCTCCCTACTAATGTTCCTGGGGAGGCAGCAGAAGATGGCCCAAGTACTTGGGCCACTGCCACACATGTGAGAGACCTGGCTGAAGCTCCTGGCTTTGAGCTGGACCAGCCCTGGCCATTGAGGCTATTTGGGGAGTGAACCGGTAGATGGAAGAGCTCTCTCTCTCTCTCTCTCTCTCTCTCTCTCTCTCTTTCAAATAAACAAATACATACTTAAATCTTTTTTAAAAGTAGACTCCGAAAAGCTTCATATTATTTTTGGATCAATAATGAACATTATTTAGAATGTGTAGAATCCTTTATTTTTTTTACTCTGAAAATTTTAAACAAGTTCAGAAATACAGAGAAAGAGAATGGTATGATGAACTCCCGTATATGAATTATTCAGTTTCAGCAGGGTATTAGGTCATGGCCAGTCTTGGTTTTTTTTTTTTTTTTTTTTTTTTTTTTGACAGGCAGAGTGGACAGTGAGAGAGAGACAGAGAGAAAGGTCTTCCTTTGCCGCTGGTTCACCCTCCAATGGCCGCCGCTGCAGCCGGCGCACCGCGCTGATCCTTGCAGGAGCCAGGAGCCAGGTGCTTTTCCTGGTCTCCCATGGGGTGCAGGGCCCAAGCACCTGGGCCATCCTCCACTGCACTCCCTGGCCATAGCAGAGAGCTGGCCTGGAAGAGGGGCAACCGGGACAGAATCCGGCGCCCCAACCGGGACTAGAACCCGGTGTGCCGGCGCCGCAAGGTGGAGGATTAGCCTATTGAGCCACGGCGCCGGCTATGGCCAGTCTTGTTTTAACTCTGTCCATATTCACTTCCATTTGTTCTCAGTGAAATTATTTTGAAGTGAATTGAAGATTCCATATAATTCCAACTATAGTCAGGTTTGAATCTCTAAAAGAAAAGGATTCTGCTCTTTCAACATACCCATCATACCATATCCTTCCTGAAAAATTGACACTAATTTGCTAATGTTGTGAGATAAGATCTTGCATATATGAATTTAAATAAGATGCCAGGGTAAAAATATTATTAGAACACAGAGCTAATTATGATAGTTCTTCAGTTTTCATAAGTAATTAAAGCTAAGTTTTCCTCTCTCTCTCTTTTTTTTTTAATTTTTTATTTACTCCCCAGCAGTTTCCTGCGATCCCAAGTATCAGAAGTGTTCTTTTGATAGAGCAGTGAAGACACTAGTAAGCTTGCATCCCATATAAGAGTTCATGGGTTTGAGTTCTGGCTCTGCTTCTGATTCCAGCTTCCTGCTGATGCTGATGAGCACCTTGTGTGAGGGAGCAGGAGATGGCTCTAGTACTTGGATTCATGCCTGAGTTCAAGGCTCCTGGTTTTGGCCTGGCCTAGGCTGTTGTGGGCATTTGGGGAGTGAACCAAGGTCTTTCTGCATTTCTGTCTGTCTCTTTCCCTCTCTCTGCCTAGTGTTCTTTCAGCCCAGCTTTCTCATTTTTACGTGAACAGGAAGAACCTGTTATTTTTCTCTGACCCACATATCCATTTTTAACCTTTGCCTAGTGTGTAAAGTAAAAGATTAAAAGATTAACTTAGGACTTTTGCACTCAGTTTCTAGTTTAGAGAGAATTTTTGGAAAAACTCCTATCTGAGATTACACAAATGTTCAGAGGAACATGGGACAATGAAAAAGCTCTGTCAGCGTGTTTTCTCCTGTTTCAGCTCCCAGGGGTGGCTGTGTGTCCCCAGCCCATGCCTGGCTGACTGTGCCTGCTCAGTATTGGGTGTTTCATGGCACTTGAGCTTCACTGCTGAGGGAGAAAAGGCACATGGAATTTGGAGGCTGAAAGACACCAGCGAGGTAATGATGCTGTGAACAGATGTTCAGTGAGAAAGGGGGTCTGTGCTGCTCAGAGTGCGAGAGATTGGGAGTTGGACAGGCTTCTGACTGTGGCGCTCTTCAGAGGCTTAACTGCAGGTATGTGCACTGTGACTCCCCAGATGAGACTGTAGACTTACGTGACCACATGGGCCTCTTATCACAGAAATGACTGGCCTCAGACCAGGCTCTGGGCAGTGCTGATAAAAGTAAGGCAGGCTCAGCAAGGTTAAGTAATCAACACAAGGTCATAAGACTGGTGGTGGCATGGTCACATCTAGGATACCAGAGCCATAACAGAGTCGAGTTGAAAGGAGAATCTCCCACAGGCAGCACTCCTTAGGGAAGGACTATGCCTTCAGAAACCTGGGCAGAGCTAAGTCATTTCACATCTTCAGATCTTCGGGGTCCTGGTCTGGCAAGTGGGGTCAGTAATACCTTGATTCCAGCTGTTGTAAGGGACAGCTAACGTGGATGTGAATGTAGTGTAAACCTTCAGTTCGGATTTTATTGAATTATCTCTGCATTTATTTGAAAGACAGAACAACAGACAGAAGGAGACATACATGTGTGTGCACGCACATGCAGACGCACACGCGCGCACACACACACACACACCTTCCATTTACTGGTTCATTCCCCAAATAGCCATAACAGCCAGACATGGGCCAGTCTGAAGCCAGGGCCAGGAGCTCCATCTGGGTTTCCTACATGGGTGGCAGAGGTCCAAGCATTTAAGCCATCCACCTCTGCTTTCCCAGGTGTATTAGTAGGAAACTGGATCAGAAGCAGAGTAGCCCAGTTAGGCAGCTGCTTGGGATGCCTGCGTGCCATATGGGAGCGTTGGTTCAAGTTCTGGCTCTTCTGCTTCCAGTCTAGCTTCCTGCTAATGGGCATGGGGAGGCAGCAGCAGATGGCCCAGTAGCTGGTTTCCCGTCACCCGTGAGACCCAGATGGAGTGTCAGACTCCTACTTTCAGCCTGACCCAGCCCCGGCTGAGTAGGCACTTAGGGGAGCGAACCAGCAGGTCAATGACTTGTGCACGGTGGTGGCTACTTTCTGAAAGGCACTGTGAGCTTTTCTTCTTCAGCTCTAGGTGTAGTAGATTGTTGGTTCCCATTCCTTCTCTTGGCTCATGATTTGGACCCTGGATTAAGGTGGTTTTTGAAGAAGGTTTCCTTACTGCCGTCATGCTGTGTTGTCTCATGCCTGTGGCGTGGAGGTGTGACTGTGGCTGGGCATTCCAGGACAAAAGGCTCAGCGTCCTCTGCATCTGATGTGCTACCCTCTCGAGTTCTACCACCTTTAGTCATCATTTCCCAGGAGGTGTGGGCACTTGTGATAAGTTGTCTGATGTTTTCTTCTGGTGTTTTTGACCATGAAATCTCAGACCTGGAGTAGATTGTGTTACCAAATAGCCAAAGGAGGGAGGATGTAATATTTGATTTACATAATATCCAGGAAATGAGGGAAGGCATGATGCCATTAGCTGTGTTTCCAGTCAGACTTAGGAAGTTTCACAATCGTTTATTCAGAAAAGATGAAGGCAACTTGCAGGTGTTGCTGATGGAGTTAGTTACTTGCTGAAGAGGAGACAAAACCAGGAGCAGCTTTGTTTCATTCCTCATAATTGTAAAGCCATTACTGGGGAGTTAGGTCATGTCCCCCCTTTACCTTGCGAAAGGGAATTTTTCTCCTGAGGTGATTTCAGTGCTTTAAATTCCTCGGCTGAAATTGGAGACTCACAGATAAATGAGACATATAGAAGGCTTCCCAGTCCCTGCTTCCAGCCTCATGAAACCAGGGTTCCACGGCCAGGAACATGTCACCAGCACTGACGTTTAGGGGTTTGGCTGATTAGCTTCATTTTTATGATCACTTCTTTAGTCACCAAGTCTTTTTCTCTTTGTCCATCTCTCTCTCTCTCTCTCTCTCTCTCTCTCTCTCTTTTAAAGTTTATTTACTTGAAAGGTAGAGTTATACAGACAGAGATGACAGAGTTGCAGATGTAGAGACAGATCTTTCATCTGCTGGTTCACTCCCCAAATGGTCCCAATGGTGTGGCCAGGAGCCAGGAGCTTCATCCTGGTCTCCCACGTGGGTGCAGGGGCCCAGGCACTTGGGCCATCTTTTGTTGCTTTCCCAGGCGCATTAGCAAGGAGTTGGATCAGAAGTGGAGCAGCCAGGACTCAAACCAGTGCCCATATGGGATGCTGGTGCTGCAGGTGGTAGTTTAACCTGCATGCCACAACGCCAGCCGCAGTGCTATTTTTTTTTTTAAAGATTTGTTTATTTGAAAGGCAGAGTCACGAAGAGCAGAGGCACAGAGAGAGAGAGAGAGAGAGAGGGAGAGAGGTTCTCCATCTGTTAGCTCACTCCCCAGATGGCCATAGTGGCTGGAGCTGGGCTGATCCGAAACGAGGAGCCTCTTCTGGGTCTCCCACCAAGTGCAGGGGCCCAAGGACTTGGGCCATCTTCCACTGCTTTCCCAGGCCATAGCAGAGAGCTGGATCAGAAGTGGAGCAGCCAGGTCTCAAACCAGCACCCGTAAGGGACGCTGGTGCTGCAGACGGCAGTTTAACCTGCCTGAAAGGCAGAGTTAAAAAGAGGGAGACATATACACACACAGGAATCTTCCATACACTCGTTCACTTCCCAAATGGCCACAATAGGCTGGGCCAAGGCAATACTAGAAATCTGCAACTCCATCCTAGTTTCCATGTGGGTGGCAGAGGCCCAACCAAGCACTTGGGCCATCATCTGCTGCTTTCCCAGGTGCATTAGTAGGAATGCTGGATCGGAAGTAGAGAAGGGGCTGGTGCTGTGATATAGTGGGTAAAGCTGCTGCCTACAGTGCCAGCATCCCATATAGGCACCAGTTCAGGTCCTGGCTGCTCCACTTCTGATCTAGCTCTCTGCTATGGCCTTGGAAAGCAGTAGAAGATTGCCCAAGTCCTTGGGCCCCTGTACCTGTGTGGGAGACCCGGAAGAAACTCCCGGCTCCTTGCTTCAGGTTGGTGCAGCTCTGGCCATTGCAGCCAACTGGAGAGTGAACCAGCGGATGGAAGACCGCCCTCCCCGCCCCCCGTCTCTCCTTCTCTCTCTGTGTAACTCTGACTTTCAAATAAAATAATAAATCTTTAAAAAAAAAAAAGATTTATTTTTAAAAAAAGGAAGTAGAGCGTCTGGCACTTGAACCAGTGCTCATATAGGACGCCAGTGTGGCAGGCAGTGGCTTAACCTGCTGTGCCACAGCATTGGCTGCTTATACTTTAGAAGAGGAGGTATGCCTGAGTATAAACAATCAAAACAAAGTATAAAATGTCTTTGCTGAGTTTATGAGGCACATACAAGTGCATAAATTCTCCCATGAAAAACAGCCAGGATGGTTTTTCTCTGGGAAATGAGAACGACTGCTCTGATGATCTTGAACTCAGAGCACCCAGAGCCACTTCCAGGGACTCAGAGTCGAGGTGCCTATAGTAAAGCGACCTTGCTGTTAGCCTTCTCCATGGGTCAGCCATCATGCACCTACATTTCCACTGAAAATAGACCACATCTCTCTTTATCTTGCCCAAAGTTTAGATCAAAGTGAAAAATGAAGTGAGATTTGGTAGAGACCTTAGAGCCCAGTTTTCCTAATGGAGTTCTCGTTCCCGGTTGTGTGTGGGTGTGCAGTTGGTGTGACCTACATCCTTCCTTTTGCTCTGATTCCAATGATCTCTGATTTAGAGAGAGTTGATGAGGAGGCATGAGCTGTGTCTGGGATCAGCCCAGAAGTATAGACTGCTGATTTTCATGTAATTCTTGGTTACTTGCCAGTTTGGTTGGGGTTAAGCTGTTTCCAGGGTAGGAAAAACAAACAGCATTTTGGTACAAAAACAAAGAAGGTTGCTTTGTACTTGGTGAAGCTCAAATTGCAGATCCAGTGAGAGCCCATTAATCTTCAGTGGTAAGTTTCAGAGACCTCTGTACTCTCTTGAGATGGAGTGACTTCTCTTTCATGAAAGTAAGATGTATGTGTGGAGTAATTGTCAACTCCAAAAGGATTTTCTTGTTAGGAGACAAAATAAGAGGCAGAAACCTTAGGAGCACTGTAAACTGGTTTTAGCTTCTGCTACTTTTATTTTTCTCCTTCTGAAAGACTCAGACTGTACCATTGATACAGATACCTTTCCTCCATCGCCCCTGATCTCTGCAATAGAACAAAATCCATTCCAAGAGGGCCAGCATTGTGGCGCAGTGGGGTAAGCTGCCTCCTGCAAGGATGCCAGCTGGCATCCCATACTGGAGTGTTGCTTGACTCTTGCTGCTCTGCTTCTGCACCTGGGAGTGCAGTAGATGATGGCCCAAGTGATTAGACCCCTGTCACCTACATGGGAGATCTAGATGGAGTTGCAGACTTCTGGCTTCGGCCTGGCCCAGTCCTGGCTGCTGTAGCCATTTGGCGAATGAACCAGCAGATGGAAGATCTTTGTCTCTGTCTCTCCCTCTCCTTCTTTCTCTGTCATTCTGCTTTCCAAGAAAATAAATAAATATTCAGAATCCAATCCAAGATTTATCATATTTTAGCAGTAAACCAGACAAGCAAAATGAGGGCCCAAGATCCATAGTAAAATAGAAACTCCTGTCTTTGCTTGTTATTAATGATACCATACTCATCAGAGGGAAAATGATGCCCATCAGAGGCACTCACTAAACACACGAGGGTAGAGGGCCTGGCCTCTACATTCCACCTCCCACTGATCTTTTTTTTATTTTCAAGATTTATTTTATTTAAAAGGCACAGTTAGAGGATGAGACAGATCTTCCATGCACCATAGGCTGCCAGTGTTTGTTTCTGTGTGTTCATTCCCCAAATGGCCACAATGGCTAGGGTTGGATCAGACCAAAGCCAGGAGCTAGGAGCTTCTTCTGGGTCTCCAGAAGTGGGAGTGCAGGAACCCAAGCACTAGGGCCATCTTCTGCTGCTTTCCCAGGTG